GAAGCGTTATAATTACATAAAGCCCCTTTGAGCTCAAACTGCCCACTTTTGTTGCTGTTTTTATTTTCCCTCTCCTATGAACACCCCAGAAGTTTCTTGCAGTCTAGTAGCTTGTCACCCCCTAGGACAACAGAATACTTCTGAAATAGATGAACTTTGGATAAAAGCTCTTCTCCTGATGGCTCTGCTGTTGCCTCGTGTTTCCTTCCGGATTGTTTTGTGGTCCAGCACCCTGCTCCGTGTCATGTCGGCAACAACTTCATTTTCTTTCCGTTCCCTTTGTTCAGCTGCTTTGACTGCACCTTTGCTACCGAAGCAGAGCCAGTGCATGGGCAGGAGGTGTCTCTTGTGACTGCTCAGAGTGTTTCTTAGCATCCTTGTGGAACAGATTTGGCCTTTCCCAACCAGCCAGTGCTCGTCTGGGATCCAGGGGACAGTGCGAATCAGCTGTTCCTGGTTGATGGGTTTGATCCAGGAAGGGGAAGAGATTTCAGCTGCATGAACAGTGTTGTGCTAAACTGCTTCCCCTCAAACTTGTTTGATTTCCTGAGCTATGGCCCTTAAGCCATGGGTTATCTTTTGTTTTTTTCCATTCTACTGCACGTGGTAGGCAGGTCTCCGCTGCTTTTGCGTAGTCTCCCAGCCTTGGGCAGTGCTGCACATCCACTGTTTCTGTCTCTTTACCTGCTCTTTGCTTGACCCAGGGCAACGGTGACTTTTCTGTTATGCCTCAGGAAGAAGCAGACTAAATAACCAACCTATTTTATCAGTCTGTGACCAACGCTGGGGACGACGATCTGAATTTGCAAATGCAGCAATGGGTTTTAGGTGCCTCCTGTTCTTTATGTAGTTGATTTACATTTGTTCAAGCTGGAGACCTGTGCATCGGGGTGTAAAAACGTCCGTAGACTTGGATTCTGTTCTGTGCTGGCTTTTCATGTCTGATAAATCATACTTGTATTATGGTTTATATTACCATAATTTAATCAGGTATTAGGATAGCTGAAGTGTGAGAATGATTAACATTTTAATGGATTTCTCTGGTTCTGAAAGGTGCTTGCTTACTGTAAAATGTCAGTAGTTCTTCCTGGAGAGGGTGTGGAGGCACTGGGACAGGTTCCCAGAGAATCTGTGGATGCCCCATCCCTGGATGTCTTCAAGGCCAGGCTGGATGAGGCTTGGAGCAACCTGGTCTAGTGGAAGGTGTCCCTGCCCATGGCAGGGGGGTTGGAACTGGATGGTCTTTAAGGTCCCTTCCAACGCAAACCATTCTATGATTCTATGAAATCTGTCTTCCAGTAACAAAATTGTGGATTTTGAAAAAATGGTATTAACTTTGGTGCCTGAATTTGTTCTGAGAGTGTAAATATGGAACAGCTGGACATGGGGTAACAACTTCTGTCTTCACCCCACTGCTTTGACTGTATCGAAATAACTCCACTAGCTATTCCTTGCTCTTCAGACCAGGCTTTGGATTCTGTTTTCCCTGTTGTCCTTGAGCTCAGTTTCTGCTGAGCTGTGCTCCTCTCTCTCTCCCTTCAGCCTCCTGCCTCGTTTTTCTTTCTACTGGCCTTCCAAGGGTCCATGCAATTTACCTGGAGTGTTTTACTATCTTCATGGTCATTTAATTCCAGTCCTTATAGTACATCTTCTCCTTTGGTCATAGTCTGCCTTCCACCACCAAAACAAGGAACGGCCGAGCAGCCCCATTGTGCTTTTCTCCTTTCATCATTTGTGCGTGTTGGCTGTCATTTAAGTGCCTTTACAAGAGGGCTGCTCGCTCTTCCTTTGTTCAAGATGGTGATGAATGAGCTGTTGATACTTAGCAAATTAATTAAAAAAAAAAAAAAAAAATTTCCACCATGGGAAGGCATCCAGTTCTTGCATCCTGTCAAATTTTCACACTCTCTCCAGCGGTGCCACACAAATGCTGACAGCAAGGAAGCATAATTCACTGATATGGAACAGTAAGGTGGGTTTTGGCAGAAGGAATGTGATTGATTACGCTGGAGTTCAGCCACAAATCTTCTAAAAATACTGCTTGGAGGTTGCGTAAGCTCCTCTGGACGACATCACCCTGGCCTAAAGAAGAAAATGGGTGCAGTGTGGTTTTAGAAGTGGTGCATTAGGGATCCCGTGAGGTCCTAACAAAGTTCCTGACCAAACTTGTAACTGTGCTTTTTGTTTCCTTGTTGTCCATGTGTAAAGCCGTAGTTAGGTCAAGTTCCTCTGTCCTGTCGATGATCACTGTTAATCTGGTTGGTCCAACCACTGATGCATCCTCCACGTGTACACTGACCCTCTGGAGGCTGCTGGCAGGGTTAAAGGCTTGTGGAATTGACCTCCAGCTGTTGAATGTTAACAGGCCTCTCCGGAGATGCTAAAACAGTCTTTGGTGATTGTTTTGCTGAGTTACAAAGCACCTGCCTTTTGTGTTATAGAATCACAGGATAGCTTGGGTTGGAAGGGACCTTAAAGACCATCTAGTTCCAACCCCCCTGCCATGGGCAGGGACACCTTCCACTAGACCAGGTTGCTCCAAGCCTCATCCAGCCTGGCCTTGAACACTTCCAGGGATGAGGCATCCACAGCTTCTCTGGGCAACCTGTTCCAGTGCCTCATCACCCTCTGCGGGAATAACTTCTTCCTGATGTCCAATCTAAACCTCCCCACGTTCAATTTAAACCTGTTACCCTTTGTCCTGTCACTACAGGCCCTTGTAAAAAGTCCCTCCCAGTTTCCTTGTAGCCCCTTCAGGTACTGGAAGGTGCTGTAAGGTCTCCCTGGAGCCTTCTCTTCTCGAGGCTGAACAAGCCCAACTCTCCCAGCCTTTATTACCCATGCCTGAGGGTACAGCATCACCCAAACCAAACAGCGATTCTCACCCTGCTCGAGCAGGGCAGCAGCGAAGCAGTTGCCAGTCACTCCAGGAAATGAAGCACAGGGGTGGAGGAGACCAACAGGAGACCTTGCAGCAGCTGCCTGGTCTCTCGCTTCACCCGTGCGTAGCTCAGATAACTCGAAACATGCGTTGGTTTTCAGATGCCTCTAGTGCTAATCCAGCCAAGTAACAGGAACTGCTCCCTGAGAGTAAACGTGCATGCAGGCACGTCTTCTCTTTCAGCATACAAATGTGTCTGGGTTGGTTGGGGTGTTTTCTATTTTAGGATTCTTCAAGGGACATCCGGGAAGCGCTTCACGAGCTGTTGTGTTGCACCAACGTCTCAACTAAAGAAGGCATCCATCTCGCACTGGTGGAGCTGCTGAAAAACCTGACTAAGTATCCCACAGACAGAGAATCCATATGGAAGTGAGTGTGTTCAGTGTCCTTGTGTGTCTATTTATTTTCCTATTCTTTTTAGCAATTATTTTCCTGTTCTTTTTAGCAATTGAGGCATTAGGCAAACATTGAGCTAGCTAAGCAGGAAATGGGTGTTGCAGGTCTACAATGAATTTAGATTCTGTGTCCAGCTCTGGGACCCCCAACATCAGAAGGACACGGTCCTGTTGGAGCAAGTCCCGAGGGTGCCATGGAGATGCTCTGAGGGCTGGAGCTCCTCTGCTGTGACCTGGCTGTATTAAGCATAGTACATATCTGTGGCTGATGTAGAAACTCGGTGGTACCAGTTCTTGCCAGTCAATACTTATACTGGGAAGCCAGAACTGATGACCACTCCTGGAAATTACTCTGTTACAAGCACTCAGAGCATTCCTGGTAGAGAGGAAGTAAGTGTGGCCAGCAGGTTGAGGGAGGGGATTCTTCCCCTCTGCTCTGCTCTTGTGAGACACCACCTGGAGTGCTGCATCCAGCTGTGGAGCCCTCAGCATCAGAAGGATATAGACCAGTTGGAGCGAGTCCAGAGGAGGCCACGAAGATGCTCAGCGGGCTGGAGCACCTCTGCCATGGGGACAGGCTGAGAGAGTTGGGCCTGTTCAGCCTGGAGAAGGGAAGGCTCCGGGGAGCCCTTATTGCAGCCTTCCAGTACCCGAAGGGGCCAACAAGGAAGCTGGGGGGGGACTTTTCCAAGGGCCTGTAGTGACAGGACAAGGGGTAATGGGTTTAAACTGAAAGTGGGGAGATTTAGATTGGATATTCAGGAAGAAATTCTTCCTGGAGAGGGTGGTGAAGCACTGGGACAGGTTGCCCAGAGAAGCTGTGGATGCCCCATCCCTGGAAGTGTCCAAGGCCAGGCTGGATGAGGCTTGGAGCAACCTGGTCTAGTGGAAGGTGTCCCTGCCCATGGCAGAGGGGTTGGAACTAGATGGTCTTTAAGGTCCCTTCCAACCCAAACCATTCTGTGATTAAACCTTCAATGTAAAACCTCATTTCTTCTATGCAATTAACATTTTGTTCTTACTTGACATAGTAATATTGACCAGCAGCTGACGATACCGGTTGTGACAAGTGGATTGGCTACATGGCATTGTGCCCTTGGAGGGACCTTTTCTGACTGAGCAAAGATAATGATTGTATATGTGGGGTTTTTTTTAGCTGTTTAGTGGAAGTAACAAGGGGAAGTGATGCTCCGGCACACGTGGTTTGAGGTGGAATTCTTGGGTGTTTCTGGAAACATTTACTTTAGGCTGCGTTGTCTTCCAGTCTCTTAGGTTGTTTATAGAGTTCAGGGGTTTTGGGTTTTGTTATTTGGTTGCAGTTTTATCTCCTCACTCCTTCTGAATTAAAAATGGCACTCGTTAGCATTTAGTATGAAAGCTTTTCTTGGGTTATATAGCCTAGTATTTCTTGGACAGTTTAAATAAAAAGTTGTTATTACTGCTTGCTTTTTCAAGCTGTTCTCTTGGGTTTTTCTTGGGTTTTATCAAATACTAATGCAAATACTCAGCCCTGAAGAGACAGTTGTCTTGGACAGTAGGATTTTGATGCTGACCTCAAAATGCTGCCACAATACAAAGTAATAATGCGTTGAAATGATGTGTTTTGCAATGTACTTGTTTACTGAGAAACATTTCAATCTGTGTGTTTTCAGATGTTTGAAGTTCCTGGGAAGCAGGCATCCTACTTTGGTGCTTCCATTAGTCCCTGAGCTGCTGAGCACACATCCATTCTTTGACACTCCCGAACCGGACATGGATGACCCAGCCTGTATCTTTTTCATGAAGCCAGTTGACTGTAATAGATTTTATTCATATTTTCCTGACGCTCACATTTGCTAAACCATTACAAACTGCAGCAGACAATCCTGTGGCTATTTCTGAATCCTTTTGCCACTTGGTTTTATTACTCAGCAAGTGATGGAATAACTGTTATCTGGAACCACCTTAAAAAAATACCAATGTGGTATATTGGCCTTTTTTTAATGTGGTGACAAATAATCCGTTTAATGAGCAATTTGTCAATGTTTGGGCTTTGCAGATGAGTCCTTGGATGTGAAAACATTTGTCTAGTTTGCACTAGTTCTGAAGATGTTTTAGCTTTTAGATGAGAAGAGTGGTTCTCCTTGTCTGCTTTCTTTTGAGGTCAAACTTGTGCTGCCCTCACTGTTGCGCTGTGTATCGAACAGCACTGTCTTTTAGTACAGCAGTGGCTGATTCCCCATAAAATTAGCATCTTTTCGAAACAATTCCAAATTGGAAATCCTTATATTAATGTTAGCTCTTCTAGTGCTTCAGCATACGAACTGTTATTGTTGTACCATTATCCTTCACAATAGGAGGTGCCCTGGAAATGCAAAATACTATTTTTTCCATTGTTCCTTCTCCTTGCTTCCCTTCTGGGCAGAACCTAATGTTATTTCCGACGCACACTGGGAGATGTTAGACTGGAACAACTCTCTGCCTCTGTGAGGCTACTCCTTATTTCTCTCACCAGTCACAGGCCAACAGCTAGAACTTATGTACAGATTAAATAGTGAGGATTGAAAAGGGTGGAGAGAAAGATTAACCCGTAATCAGACAGCTGACTAATAATTTGAGTAAATTTGTCCTGTGGGTGGAGCATTGAAGGAACATTGCACGGGAAGAGAAAGCTGTTATTTAGCTAAATGCACCTTCCTGCCCTGAACCAAAGAATGTCATTTGAGAGAATGTTCTGGAGGTAACTTGCCACCAAATTTTATGGAGATAAATTCTGTGAAAGACAGACCTGGGAGCCAGAAAGTACAAGGTAGACCTGCATGGTATGTTTCCAGTGTAAATTGTTAATCAAAAATGTGATTTTGTTTGATTCAAAGTACTTAGCACATTTGAATCCAATTGGTTGAATAGCTTCAGCAGAAAATTTGGAAATATTTTTGGGCAAAGAGGATAAATTGGCTTGTTAAATTGGCAACCCGTGATTGCAGAAGGATTTTCAGAAGGTGAGAGACTTGGGTTCAATCCTTTCTGTGACTGAACCTACTTCCTGCCTGTGCAGGTGAGAGCCCAGATGATCATCAACTTTGCGTTGGGATCCTTTTACACTCCCCTGGTAGATCTGAGACCTGAGGGCAC